GGAGAAGGGACTTCCCAAGTGGAGAAGGGACTTCCCAAGTGGAGAAGGGACTTCCCAAGTGGAGAAGGGACTTCCCAAGTGGAGAAGGGACTTCCCAAGTGGAGAAGGGACTTCCCAAGTGGAGGAGAGACTTCCCAAGTGGAGGAGGGACTTCCCAAGTGGAGGAGGGACTTCCCAAGTGGAGAAGGGACTTCCCAAGTGGAGAAGGGACTTCCCAAGTGGAGAAGGGACTTCCCAAGTGGAGAAGGGACTTCCCAAGTGGAGAAGGGACTTCCCAAGTGGAGAAGGGACTTCCCAAGTGGAGGAGGGACTTCCCAAGTGGAGGAGGGACTTCCCAAGTGGAGGAGGGACTTCCCAAGTGGACTTCCCAAGTGGAGAGACTTCCCAAGTGGTGGAGGGACTTCCCAAGTGGAGGAGGGACTTCCCAAGTGGAGAAGGGACTTCCCAAGTGGAGAAGGGACTTCCCAAGTGGAGAAGGGACTTCCCAAGTGGAGAAGGGACTTCCCAAGTGGAGGAGGGACTTCCCAAGTGGAGGAGGGACTTCCCAAGTGGAGGAGAGACTTCCCAAGTGGAGGAGGGACTTCCCAAGTGGAGGAGGGACTTCCCAAGTGGAGGAGGGACTTCCCAAGTGGAGGAGGGACTTCCCAAGTGGAGGAGGGACTTCCCAAGTGGAGGAGGGACTTCCCAAGTGGAGGAGGGACTTCCCAAGTGGAGGAGGGACTTCCCAAGTGGAGGAGGGACTTCCCAAGTGGAGGAGGGACTTCCCAAGGGACTTCCCAAGTGGAGGAGGGACTTCCCAAGTGGAGGAGGGACTTCCCAAGTGGAGGAGGGACTTCCCAAGTGGAGGAGGGACTTCCCAAGTGGAGGAGGGACTTCCCAAGTGGAGGAGGGACTTCCCAAGTGGAGGAGGGACTTCCCAAGTGGAGGAGGGACTTCCCAAGTGGAGGAGGGACTTCCCAAGTGGAGGAGGGACTTCCCAAGTGGAGGAGGGACTTCCCAAGTGGAGGAGGGACTTCCCAAGTGGAGGAGGGACTTCCCAAGTGGAGGAGGGACTTCCCAAGTGGAGGAGGGACTTCCCAAGTGGACTTCCCAAGTGGAGGAGTGAGGGACTTCCCAAGTGGACTTCCCAAGGAGGGACTTCCCAAGTGGAGGAGGGACTTCCCAAGTGGAGGAGGGACTTCCCAAGTGGAGGAGGGACTTCCAAGTGGAGGAGGGACTTCCCAAGTGGAGGAGGGACTTCCCAAGGAGGGACTTCCCAAGTGGAGGAGGGACTTCCCAAGTGGAGGAGGGACTTCCCAAGTGGAGGAGGGACTTCCCAAGTGGAGGAGGGACTTCCCAAGTGGAGGAGGGACTTCCCAAGTGGAGGAGGGACTTCCCAAGTGGAGGAGGGACTTCCCAAGTGGAGGAGGGACTTCCCAAGTGGAGGAGGGACTTCCCAAGTGGAGGAGGGACTTCCCAAGTGGAGGAGATACTTCCCAAGTGGAGGAGTGACTTCCCAAGTGGAGGAGGGACTTCCCAAGTGGAGGAGATACTTCCCAAGTGGACTTCCCAAGTGGAGGGACTTCCCAAGTGGAGGAGGACTTCCCAAGTGGAGGAGGGACTTCCCAAGTGGAGGAGGGACTTCCCAAGTGGAGGAGGGACTTCCCAAGTGGAGGAGGGACTTCCCAAGTGGAGGAGGGACTTCCCAAGAGGAGGGACTTCCCAAGTGGAGGAGGGACTTCCCAAGTGGAGGAGGGACTTCCCAAGTGGAGGAGGGACTTCCCAAGTGGAGGAGGGACTTCCCAAGTGGACTTCCCAAGTGGAGGAGGGACTTCCCAAGTGGAGGAGGGACTTCCCAAGTGGAGGAGGGACTTCCCAAGTGGAGGAGGGACTTCCCAAGTGGAGGAGGGAGTGGTGGAGGGACTTCCCAAGTGGAGGAGGGACTTCCCAAGTGGAGGAGGGACTTCCCAAGTGGAGGAGGGACTTCCCAAGTGGAGGAGGACTTCCCAAGTGGTGGAGGGACTTCCCAAGTGGAGGAGACTTCCCAAGTGGAGGAGTGACTTCCCAAGTGGAGGAGTGACTTCCCAAGTGTAGGAGATACTTCCCAAGGAGGAGGACTTCCCAAGTGGAGGAGGGACTTCCCAAGTGGAGGGGACTTCCCAAGTGGAGGAGGACTTCCCAAAAGGAGGAGGAACTTCCCAAGTGGAGGAGGGACTTCCCAAGTGGAGGAGGGACTTCCCAAGTGGAGGAGGACTTCCCAAGTGGAGGGAGTGGAGGAGGGACTTCCCAAGTGGAGGAGGGACTTCCCAAGTGGAGGAGGGACTTTCCAAGTGGAGGAGGGACTTCCCAAGTGGAGGAGGGACTTTCCCCAAGTGGAGGAGGGACTTCCCAAGTGGAGGAGGGACTTCCCAAGTGGAGGAGGGACTTCCCAAGTGGAGGAGGGACTTCCCAAGTGGAGGAGGGACTTCCCAAGTGGAGGAGGGACTTCCCAAGTGGAGGAGGGACTTCCCAAGTGGAGGAGGGACTTCCCAAGTGGAGGAGGACTTCCCAAGTGGAGGAGGGACTTCCCAAGTGGAGGAGGGACTTCCCAAGTGGAGGAGGGACTTCCCAAGTGGAGGAGGGACTTCCCAAGTGGAGGAGGGACTTCCCAAGTGGAGGAGGGACTTACTTCCCAAGTGGAGGAGGGACTTGGAGGAGGGACTTCCCAAGTGGAGGAGGGACTTCCCAAGTGGAGGAGGGACTTGGAGGAGGGACTTCCAAGTGGAGGAGGGACTTCCCAAGTGGAGGAGGGACTTTCCCAAGTGGAGGAGGGACTTCCCAAGTGGAGGAGGGACTTCCCAAGTGGAGGAGGGACTTCCCAAGTGGAGGAGGAGGAGGAGGAACTTCCCAAGTGGAGGAGGGACTTCCCAAGTGGAGGAGGGACTTCCCAAGTGGAGGAGGGACTTCCCAAGTGGAGGAGGGACTTCCCAAAAGGAGGAGGAACTTCCCAAGTGGAGGAGGGACTTCCCAAGTGGAGGAGGGACTTCCCAAGTGGAGGAGATACTTCCCAAGTGGAGGAGGGACTTTCCAAGTGGAGGAGGGACTTCCCAAGTGGAGGAGGGACTTCCCAAGTGGAGGAGGGACTTTCCAAGTGAAGGAGATACTTCCCAAATGGAGGAGAGACTTTCCAAGTGGAGGAGATACTTCCCAAGTGAAGGAGGGACTTCCCAAAAGGAGGAGGAACTTCCCAAGTGGAGGAGGGACTTCCCAAGTGGAGGAGGGACTTTCCAAGTGGAGGAGATACTTCCCAAGTGGAGGAGGGACTTCCCAAAAGGAGGAGGAACTTCCCAAGTGGAGGAGGGACTTCCCAAGTGGAGGAGGGACTTCCCAAGTGGAGGAGGGACTTCCCAAGTGGAGGAGGGACTTCCCAAGTGGAGGAGGGACTTCCCAAGTGGAGGAGGGACTTCCCAAGTGGAGGAGGGACTTCCCAAGTGGAGGAGGGACTTACCAAGTGGAGGAGGGACTTACCAAGTGGAGGAGGGACTTACCAAGTGGAGGAGGGACTTCCCAAGTGGAGGAGATACTTCCCAAGTGGAGGAGTGACTTCCCAAAAGGAGGAGGAACTTCCCAAGTGGAGGAGGGACTTCCCAAGTGGAGGAGGGACTTCCCAAGTGGAGGAGGGACTTCCCAAAAGGAGGAGGAACTTCCCAAGTGGAGGAGGGACTTCCCAAGTGGAGGAGGGACTTCCCAAGTGGAGGAGATACTTCCCAAGTGGAGGAGGGACTTTCCAAGTGGAGGAGGGACTTCCCAAGTGGAGGAGGGACTTCCCAAGTGGAGGAGGGACTTTCCAAGTGGAGGAGATACTTCCCAAGTGGAGGAGAGACTTTCCAAGTGGAGGAGATACTTCCCAAGTGGAGGAGGGACTTCCCAAAAGGAGGAGGAACTTCCCAAGTGGAGGAGGGACTTCCCAAGTGGAGGAGGGACTTTCCAAGTGGAGGAGATACTTCCCAAGTGGAGGAGGGACTTCCCAAAAGGAGGAGGAACTTCCCAAGTGGAGGAGGGACTTCCCAAGTGGAGGAGGGACTTCCCAAGTGGAGGAGGGACTTCCCAAGTGGAGGAGGGACTTCCCAAGTGGAGGAGGGACTTCCCAAGTGGAGGAGGGACTTCCCAAGTGGAGGAGGGACTTCCCAAGTGGAGGAGGGACTTACCAAGTGGAGGAGGGACTTACCAAGTGGAGGAGGGACTTACCAAGTGGAGGAGGGACTTCCCAAGTGGAGGAGGGACTTCCCAAGTGGAATAGGTACTTCCCAAGTGGAATAGGTACTTCCCAAGTGGAGGAGGGACTTCCCAAGTGGAGGAGGTACTTCCCAAGTGAAGGAGGGACTTCCCAAGTGGACGAGGGACTTCCCAAGTGGAGGAGGGACTTCCCAAGTGGAGGAGGGACTTCCCAAGTGGGAAGTATAATTACAATATATAAGGGGTGGTAGGAGAAGGCAATATGTGAGTATATGTAGGAGACCAATCAAGGCTCTCCCGGATGCTATATATTCTCTTCTTCGAGGCTAAGGGTCCCTACAAACACAACCAGAGGTGATAACCCCCCCCCCTATATGTATATTTGAAACAAGAAAATGTATATATAATATTGGTTAGAGTAGTGCTTGTATGAACACCGTGTATGTGGATCAAAATATACTAATCTCATTTTGCCATTGTGCGTGTATATCAATGTGTGTATGATTATACTTATTCAGCAAGGATATAGTTCCTATTGTTATAGTCTGGTGTGTATATCTCTCTGTATATCTTACATGTGTGTGTGTGTGTGTGTGTGTGTGTGTGTGTGTGTGTGTGTGTGTGTGTGTGTGTGTGTGTGTGTGTGTACTCACCTATTTGTGCTTGCGGGGGTTGAGCTCTGGCTCTCTGGTCCCGCCTCTCAACTGTCAATCAACTGGTGTACAGGTTCCTGAGCCTATTGAGCTGTGTGTGTGTGTGTGTGTGTGTGTGTGTGTGTGTGTGTGTGTGTGTGTAGAGAGGCTCACCTGTGGTTACACTGCTGGCAGGCGAAGCACTCGAGGTGGTAGACATTGTTACGAGCCCTCATCACCATCTCGAAGGCCGGAATGACCTTTGAGCAGGCTGAGCAATACCCAGTTGTTCCGAACAGCCTGCAAGGTAAATACAGGTCAACACCGGTCACTACAGGTCCGTACTTTGACAACAAGTCAGCTTAACTATCTAACTGGCTTGTCAAATTGCCTGACTGGCTTCTAACTGTCTGCCTCACTGTACTGTTGCCTACTTGATCGGCTTCTTGTCTAACTACCAGGTCTGCTTGTTCTCTGATTGGCTGGTTAAATAAATGATCACGTGACTGGTTGGCTAATTATAGAACTACACGGCTGGTTGGATAATTGTCTCACTGACTAGCTGGTTATTTGACCATCTGACTAGTTGGTTAACTGACTAACCACCTGACTGGTTAGTTAACTACCTAACAACCTGACTGGTTAGTTAACTACCTAACTATCTGACTGGTTAGTTAACTACCTAACTATCTGACTGGTTAGTTAACTACCTAACTATCTGACTGGTTTGTTAATTAACTATCTGACTGGTTAGTTAACTACCTGACCATCTGACTGTTTAGCTAACTATCTGACCATCTGACTGGTTAGTTGACTACCTATCTGACTGATTAGTTAACTACCTAACTATCTGACTGGTTAGTTAACTACCTAACTATCTGACTGGTTAGTTAACTACCTAACTATCTGACTGGTTAGTTAACTACCTAACTATCTGACTGGTTAGTTAACTACCTAACTATCTGACTGGTTAGTTAAATACCTGACCACCTGACTGGTTAGTTGACTACCTAACTATCTGACTCGTTAGTTAACTACCTAACCACCTAACTGGCCAGTTAACCACTTAACCACATTACTGGTTAGTAAACAACCTAACCACCAAACTGGTTAGTTACCTGACCAGTTAGATGGTTAGGTAGTTAACCTAACCAGTTAGGTGGTTAGGTTGTTAACCACCTAACCACGTGGTTAGACTAGACATACCTGAGATAGTCCCTGCGACAGAGGATAAGATTACCCTTAGTAAATAGAGTGGAGCCCACTTCCCCCAGCCGGCAGTCGCAGCATCCGCACTTGAGACAATCTTCGTGCCAGTGCATCTCGAGGGCCTTCAGCAGATACCTGAAGGGGGGAAGAGGGGTGAGACACACCTGGGGGACACCGCGGGTGGACAGGTGTAGAGGGGTGGGGGGGATACAGGTGTGTGAGTGTGTGTGTGTGTGTGTGTTTTAATGGCACTTTTAACGTGTGTGTTCTTTCTTGGGGGTGCACTACTTGGAGATGTGTATTGTTATCTATCTACACTATTACTTATCTACACCATCTTTTATACCACCAGAATCTATGCTGCTAGCACCATGAGCTATATCACCATCTACATCTATACCACCACCACCATCTACACCACCATCACCATCTACACCACCACCACCACCATGTACACCACCACCATCACCATCTACACCACCACCACCATCAACACCACTACCACCACCATCTACACCACCATCTACACCACCACCACAAACACCACCACCACCAACACTACCACCATCTACACCACCACCACCATCTACACCAGCACCAACACCACCACCATCAACACCACCATCAAACACCACCACCATCAACACCACCACCATCAACACCACCACCATCAACACCACTACCACCACCATCTACACCACCATCTACACCACCACCACAAACACCACCACCACCACAAACACCACCACCACCACCATCTACACCAAGACCACCACCACCATCTACACCACCACCACCAACACCATCAACACCACCACCATCAACACCACCACCATCAACACCACTACCACCACCATCTACACCACCATCTACACCACCACCACAAACACCACCACCACCACCATCTACACCAACACCACCACCACCATCTACACCACCACCACCAACACCACCACCAACACCACCACCACCACCATCAACACCACCACCATCTACACCAACACCACCACCACCATCAACACCACCACCATCTACACCAACACCACCACCACCATCTACACCACCACCATCTACACCACCACCATCACCACCACCATCAACACCACCATCAACACCACCACCATCTACACCAACACCACCACCACCATCTACACCACCACCAACACCACCACCATCAACACCACCACCATCTACACCAACACCACCATCACCATCTACACCACCACCACCACCACACCACCACCACCACCACCACCACCACCATCTACACCAACACCACCACCACCAACACCACCACCATCAACACCACCACCATCTACACCAACACCACCACCACCAACACCACCACCATCTCCACCACCACCAACACCACCATCAACACCACCACCATCTACACCAACACCACCACCACCAACACCACCACCATCTACACCACCACCACCACCACGAACACCACCACCATCAACACCACCACCATCTACACCAACACCACCATCACCATCTCAACACCACGAACACCAACACCACCACACCACCACCACCACCAACACCACCATCACCAACACCACCAACACCACCACCACCACCACACCACCATCTACCCTACACCACCACCACCATCTACCCACACCACCACCACCATCTACCACACCACCACACACCACCATCTACCACCACCACCACCACCACCACCATCTACCCCACCACCACCACCACCACCACCATCTACACCACCACCACCACACCAACACCACCACCCCTACCACCACCATCTACCACCACCACCACCCACCACCACCACCACCAACACCACCACCATCTACCCCAACACCACCACCATCTACACCAACACCACCAACATCAACACCACCACCATCTACACCAACACCACCACCACCATCTACACTACCACCAACACCACCACCATCAACACCACCACCATCTACACCACCACCACCATCACCATCTACACCACCACCACCAACACCACCAACAACATCAACACCACCACCATCTACACCAACACCACCACCACCACCACCATCTACACCACCACCACCACCATCTACACCAACACCACCATCTACACCACCAACAACACCATCTACACCACCACCAACACCACCACCACCACCAACACCACCACCAACAACAACACCACCACCAACAACAACACCACCACCATCAACACCACCGTCATCAACACCACCACCACCACCAACACCATCAACACCACCACCATCTACACCACCACCACCATCTACACCACCAACACCACCACCACCATCAACACCACCACCATCCACACCAACACCACCACCACCATCTACACCAACACCACCACCAACACCACCACCACCAACATCAACACCACGACCATCTACACCACCACCACCACCACCACCACCATCTACACCACCACCAACACCATCACCACCATCTACACCACCACCACCATCTACACCACCATCAACACCACCACCACCATCTACACCAACACCACCACCACCATCTACACCACCACCAACACCACCACCACTACCATCTACACCACCACCAACACCAACACCACCACCATCAACACCACCACCAACACCACCACCAACACCACCACCACCAACATCAACACCACCACCATCTACACCACCACCACAACCAACACCAACACCACCACCATCACCAACACCATCTACACCACAACCATCACCACCAACACCACCACCATCTACACCACCACCAACACCTCCACCACCAACACCACCATCTACACCACCAACAACACCTCCACCACCACCACCACCACCACCAATACCACCACCAACACCACCACCACAACCATCAACACCACCATCTGCACCACCACCATTACCACCAACACCACCACCACAACCAACACCGCCACCATCATCTACACCACCAACAACACCTCCACCACCACCACCACCACCACCACCAATACCACCACCAACACCACCACCACAACCATCAACACCACCATCTGCACCACCACCATTACCACCAACACCACCACCACAACCAACACCGCCACCATCATCTACACCACCACCAACACCACCACCATCAACACCACCACCACCACCAACACCACCACCACCACCATCTACACCACTACCACCATCACCACCATCACCAGCACCACCACCAACACCACCATCTACACCACTACCACCATCTACACCACTACCACCATCTACACCGCTACCACCATCTACACCACCACCAGAACCACCACCACCACCACCATCTACACCACCACCATCACCATCTACACCACCACCACCCCCACACCACCACCACCCCCACACCACCATCACCACCACCATCTACACAACCATCTACACCACCACCACCACCACCATCTACACCAACACCACCATCTACACCAACACCACCACCTCCAGCACCAACATTACCACCAACACCAACACCATCACTACCACCAACACCATCACCACCACTATCACCATCATTATCATCATCATCATTACCACCACCACCACCACCATTTACACCACCACCACCACCACCACCACCAGCACCCCCACCACCACTAACACCACCACCACCAACACCACACACCACCAACACCACCAGCACCCCCCACCACCACCAACACCACACACCACCAACACCACCAGCATCACCACCAGCACCACCACTAACACCAACACACCACACACCACCACACCCAACACACACCACCACCAGCACCCCCACCACCACTAACACCACCAACACCACCACCACCAACACCACCACCACCAACACCACACACCACCAACACCACCAGCACCCCCCACCACCACCAACACCACACACCACCAACACCACCAGCATCACCACCAGCACCACCACTAACACCAACACACCACACACCACCACACCCAACACACACCACCACCAGCACCCCCACCACCACTAACACCACCAACACCACCACCACCAACACCACCACCACCAACACCACACACCACCACCAGCACCACCACTAACACCAACACACCACACACCACCACACCCAACACACACCACCAACACCACCAGCACCCCCACCACCACTAACACCACCAACACCACCACCACCAACACCACACACCACCACCAGCACCACCACTAACACCAACACACCACACACCACCACACCCAACACACACCACCAACACCACCAGCACCCCCACCACCACTAACACCACCAACACCACCACCACACACCACCACCACCACCAACACTCAACAGCAACACCACCAGCACCACCACCACTACCAACACCACCAGCACCCCCACCACCCCCACAACCACCACCACCACCACACACACACCACCACCACCAACACCACCACCACCAACACCACCACCACCACCACCACTAACACCAACACACCACCACCAGCACCACCACTAACACCAACACACCACCACACCCAACACACACCACCAGCACCCCCACCACCACTAACACCACCAACACCACCACCACCAACACCACACACCACCACCACCACCAACACTCACCAGCAACACCACCAGCACCACCACCACTACCAACACCACCAGCACCCCCACCACCCCCACAACCACCACCACCACCACACACCACCACCACCACACACCACCACCACCACACACCTGTCATTGATGCGCTTCCCACACCCGGCACAGTCTTGGGGGCTGGTGTTGCGTTCGGTCTCCGGCGCTGGCTTCATCGTCATCTGGAACACCAAGATAGAACACTCTCAGCTCTATGTCTCTACATATAAACAACATCAATAACACATGCAAAGAAAGAGATATATGGCAGGATATATACACCAAGTATATACCTCTAAGTGTATATACCATACACAGTTGAAAAATGAAAATTTAGTTCATTTACCTAAGTTCAAAGAGCTGATAAACCTTGCTCTTTGAACCTGAGAATTGATGTCAATAGAATTTCTGGAAATATTTCCTGATTTCTCATCTTTTGAACACCGCTTTGCATTATTCTCCGCACCTAGCCTAACTTAGGCTAAACAATCCTAGCCTAACTTAGCGTTAACAAGTTCAAGTTCAAGTATGTTTATTGAGACAAGAAAAAATACATCTCAAAGGGATAAAGTAGCTTAGGCTATTTCTACCCCCCCCCCCTGGATTAGCGTTAACAATCCTAACCTAACTTAGCATAAAGAAGCCTATCCATATGAACCTAAACCAAATGGGACTTGCTGTTGAATCCTAAAAGGTATTCCCGCTCATCTCTACTTCTCTGACGCAGCTGATGCGATTCTCTTGCTCTGTTTGACTTAATTATATATCACGTTATCTCAGTTTTTGTGTAAACCTTTACACAATGTAAATCATTGTGTAAAACGACCTTTGTTGGGTTTTGTGTGTGCTATTACCTGCTCTTAATGGCGCCAGAAAAAGTTTTCTAAACGATCTGACACACTGTCACTATCTTAAACAATCTGTCATTATCTTAAACAACGTCAGAACCCTACACACCAAGGGGCTAGATTCACGAAGCAGTTACGCAAGCACTTACGAACCTGTCCATCTTTTCTCAATCTTTGGCGTCTTTGTTTACAATTATTAAACAGTTTATGAGCTCCGAAGCACCAGGAGGCTGTTTATAACAATAACAACAGTTGATTGGCAAGTTTTCATGTTTGTAAACTGTTCAATAAATGTAACCAAAGCCGTCAAAGATTGAGGAAAGATGTACACGTTCGTAAGTGCTTTCGTAACGGCTTCGTGAATCTGGCCCCCAGTTTCGTAGGTGTTTGCGTAACTGCTTCGTGAATCTGGCCCCAGGTTCGTAAGTACTTGCGTAACTACTTTGTAAATCCGGGTAAAGGGTTGTGTAGGTTCAATATTACCCAATTAAACCTCCATAGGCTACTGGCGCCTGGTCATATTTCTCAAATGATCTATGTGGCTAAATTCCCACCAGACTTTACACACAAACTTCTAAAGCTCTTAAGAATGTGAAAGATTTTCCCGTGGCCTCAGAGTATTATGTGAGACGAATGGTGTGAGTTTCTTGAATTCTACAGAAAATAATAAAAATAAAAACTACTAGGCTACTAAATATAACATATATGCCCTTAAGAACATATGTTCTAAAATCATCGTGTTATATTTTTCTGATTTAAAATTATGTGTATCATTGATTTTTTTTTTTAATTTTCAGAGATATATTTCTCTTACTAAAATTTAGATTCATTTAAATTATCTGTTATGACTCCTGCCTTTTGTAATGTATCTATGAATATCGCTGACATTGTAACATTTACTGTTTTGTGGATTGTATTTTTCATGTATTGAACATAATACCAATTACGGGTTATGCTGATATTAGAGCGTTCTTGTGCAAATGGATATTGTTCTCTAATTCTTGAATTCATTGTAGAGTAAATCAATTATAGATTTACGATCAATACCATCACCTCACTACCCAGCGCCTGACCAGACTTTCATTATATATAATAATATATAATAATTGTATATTAAAATTAGTTAATGCGTCTGAAGACCTAACGACCGCCCCCTCTAACGACCCTGACTTGACGACGAGTTCCACATACCAAAAACTACCAACAGAAACTTAACCACATAACCTAAGTTCCGTCTAACTCTTCATCACATTTCAGTATGTAATACTATTAAGATATATTTTGAGAAAATACTAAATTTGAATTAGCAGTGCCGTTAAAAATTGACGAATACGGGTTTGGGATCGTCGCCCGGCGGGTGGACTAGCCTAACCTAAGGACACGGTCATTAACGACCATTTTAACTGCCTCTATTTGAACGTTTGAACTGCTTTTCGAACAGTATTTCGGCGGAAGAGTCCTCTGTTTAAACTGCCTATATTTTGAACGTTTGAATTGCTTTTCGAACTATTTCGGCGGGAAAGTCCTGTTTAAACTGCCTTTATTTGAACGTTTGAACTGCTTTTCGAACTGTACTTCGGCGGGAAAGTCTTATTTAAACTGCCTTTATTTGAACGTTTGAACTGCTTTTCGAACAGTACCTCGGCGGGAAAGTCTTGTTTAAACTGCCTCTATTTTGAACGTTTGAACTGTTTTTCAAACAGTATTTCGGCGGGAAAGTCCTTTTTTTAAACTACCTCTCTCTCTCTCTCTCTCTCTCTCTCTCTCTCTCTCTCTCTCTCTCTCTCTCTCTCTCTCTCTCTCTCTCTATATCTATATATATATATATATATATATATATATATATATATATATATATATATATATATATAATAGAGAGGTGCTACAGCTTACAGTTCATATATAACCGCCTATAACCTACTCTCCGCCTATATAGAAAATTCTAATATACAGAAATAGTAATTTAGAATATTTAAACCCCCAATTTTTCTGCTGTAACGAGGCTGTATTAAAGCCGTTGAACACATCTCTACGTTTAACTAGATACAACACTGTAACATATACTTGTATTCGTTAATATTTCATAAAATACCACTTTTTTATTTAATATTACGAATAAATTGACGTATATGTAGGCTACTACATATGTAGGTTGATATAAATGGCGCCAGAGTAATTGATACGATCAAGGCTGTACATATGTAAGTAATATGTGGCCCTTGTAAGCAGGACGGGCTATACCGTGCCGTACCGCAACCCGTTCTCGCAAATTTAATAAGTCAATATTGACTTATTAAATATGTGCATAGGTGACATACTTAACATAATAGTTTCCCTTGAAAAGCTTCATAGAAAACACCGACCTTACCTAACCCTTGTAAGCAGGACGGGCTATACCGTGCCGTACCGAGTGTATACCTGATATAATGGCCACACTCCCAATGTGTTCTCCAGGTTCAAGAACATATATGTGAATATTATAGGTGTCTGGCCGTGCCTTGTGGTGTCTGGCCGTGCCTGGTGGTGTCTGGGCGTGCCTGGTGGTGTCTGGCCGTGCCTGGTGGTGTCTGGCCGTGCCTGGTGGTGTCTGGGCGTGCCTGGTGGTGTCTGGACGTGCCTGGTGGTGTCTGGCCGTGCCTGGTGGTGTCTGGCCGTGCCTGGTGGTGTCTGGCCGTGCCTGGTGGTGTCTGGCCGTGCCTGGTGGTGTCTGGCCGTGCCTGGTGGTGTCTGGCCGTGCCTGGTGGTGTCTGGCCGTGCCTGGTGGTGTCTGGCCGTGCCTGGTGGTATCTGGACGTGCCTGGTGATGTCTGGCCGTGCCTGGTGGTGTCAGGCCGTGCCTGGTGGTGTCTGGCCGTGCCTGGTGGTGTCTGGACGTGCCTGGTGATGTCTGGCCGTGCCTGGTGGTGTCAGGCCGTGCCTGGTGGTGTCTGGCCGTGCCTGGTGGTGTCTGGACGTGCCTGGTGATGTCTGGCTGTGCCTGGTGGTGTCAGGCCGTGCCTATTGGTATCTGGCGGTCTCTAGCCGTGCCTGGTTGTGTCTGGCCGTGCCTGGCGATGTCTGGCCGTGCATGGTGGTGTCTGGCCGTGCCTGGTGGTATCTGGCCGTGCCTTGCTGAGTCTGGCCGTGCATGGCGGTGTCTGGCCGAGCATGGTGGTGTCTGGCCGTGCATGGTGGTGTCTGGCCGTGCCTGGCGGTGTTTCGCCGTGCCTTACGGTGTCTGGCCGTGGCTGACGAAGTCTGGTCGTGCCTGGCCGTGCCTAGCGGTATCTGACCGTGCCTGGTGGTGACTGGTCGTGCCTGGCCGTGCCTAGCGGTATCTAACCGTGCCTGGTGGTGACTGGCCGTGCCTGGTGGTGTTTAGCCGTGCCTGGTGGTGCCTGGCCGTGCCTGGTGGTGTCGCCGTGTATGGCGGTGGCTGGCCGTGCCTGGCGGTGTCTGTCCGTACCTGGTGGTATCTGGCCGTGCCTGGTGGTGTCTGGCCGTGCATGGCGGTGTCTGCAGCCGTGCTTAGCGGTGTCTGGCCGTGCCTGGCGTTGTTTGGCCGTGTCTGGCGGTGTCTGGCCGGGCCTTGCGGAGCCTGTCCGTGCCTTGCGGTGTCTGGCCGTGCATGGCCGTGCTTGGCGGTGTCTGGCCGTGCCAGGCGATGTCTGGTCGTGCCTGGCGGTGTTTCGCCGTGCCTGGCCGTGGCTGACGAAGTCTGGCAGTGCCTAGCGGTGTCTGGTCGTGCTTGCTGGTGTCAGGCCGTGCCTGGCGGTGTCTGGCCGTGCATGGTGGTGCCTAACCGTGTCTGGCGGTGTTTCGCCGTGCCTTACGGTGTCCGGCCGTGCCTGGCCATGTCTGGCCGTGCCTGGCGGTGTCTGGCCGTGGCTGATGGTGTCTAGACGTGAATGGCGGTGTCTGTCCGTACCTGGTGGTATCTGACCGTGCCTGGTGGTGTATGGCCGTGCATGGCGGTGTCTGCAGCCGTGCTTAGCGGTGTCTGGCCGTGCCTGACGGTGTCTGGCCGTGCCTGGCGGTGTTTGGCCGTGCCTGCCGATGTCCGGCCGTGCCTGGCGATGTCTGGCCGTGCTTAGCGGAGTCTGGCCGTGCCTGGCGGTGTCTGGCCGTGCCTGGCGGTATCTGGCCGTGCTGGCCGTATCTGGCTGTGCCCGGTCGTGTCTGGCCGTGCATGGTGATGTCCGGCCGTGCCTGGCAGTATCTGGCCGTGCCCGGTCGTGTCTGGCCGTGCATAGTGGTGTCTGGCTGTGCCCAGCCGTGTCTTGCCGGGCTTGACGGGGTCTGGGCGTGCTTGGCGGTGTCTGGCCGTGCCTGGCGGTGTCTGGCCGTGTCTGGTG